CTCTCTCTCTCTCTCTCTCTCTCTCTCTCTCTCTCTCTCTCTCTCTCTCTCTCTCTCTCTCTCTCTCTCTCTCTTCCCCTCCCCCATGGCCTTATGCTCTGCACACGTGCATAGTGTAACTACCTTGGTCTATCGCGGCGGGCCTTTGCTTGGGCACTCATTATGTGCAGTTTTGTTTTCCTATTTGTTAGTTTGTTTTTTCTTTTTTTTTTCATTTTCTTTAAACCACCACTACCTCCGACCCTGTTTTTGCCGAGCCCGACTTTCACAGCGCACCGAGTTTTGCCGAGCCGGAGGAGTTTCACCCAAGAAGGAACAAGGGAGAAAAAAAAAAAAAAAAACCCAAACGCCACAATAACTGCCAGGTACATTCAATGAGGCCCTTGTGTGACTGTGCCCTCAGTGAGGGCGTGTAGGGGACAAACACATGGGGAAAAAAACAAAACAAAAAAAAAAGCTCCCTTACGCTGTGATTGAGGGCGGATACAGGATGCTACAGCATGGAGACAGTTATGTACCACCCGTGAAATACGCCCTGCCTGGCTGGCAGGGCACTAAAACGACTTCGGAACAAAATCAAAACAAAACAAAATGCAAACTCTTTCCCCACAACGTGACCAGATACATTCCTCAAAGGCCTCTGCAACTTCCACCCTCGTGAGGGCCTTCCCCGACGTCCCTGGACTTGAAACTTTCGCTTTTTTTTTCTTTTTTTTTCTTTTCTTTTCCTTTTTCTTTTCTTTTCTTTTTTCTTTTTTTTTCTTTTTTATTCCGTAGGGGTCCTACCCTGCCCCAAGCCCCGTGTTTTAAGGAATAGGCTAATAGATGGACTCTGCGTTTGCCTGTGAAAGGTAGTGGTGGTTTAACGAATTTTGATTTCCAACCACCCATTGTCAATACTTGGATACGTAATCACGATCAGAACGATGTGTTTGTCTCTCTCTCTCTCTCTCTCTCTCTCTCTCTCTCTCTCTCTCTCTCTCTCTCTCTCTCTCTCTCTCTCTCTCTCTCTCTCTCTCTGTGGGTTGTATGGTTCGTGTGATCTGTGCTTCTGGGCCGCTCTGACCATCTTCCATCGCACAGAATATATGGTCATTGTGCCTGTATTTGGGAACTTTCAGTCTAGATACATCGATAATGATCGTCCATCTGGATGCCAGTCCTCTTCTGTGATACACTAAAGTTCCAATCTGCATGCATGTCGAGGGAATTCCTCTCTCTCTCTCTCTCTCTCTCTCTCTCTCTCTCTCTCTCTCTCACACACACACACACACACACACACACACACACACACATGCGCGCCCAGGCAAGGCCACTTCAACAGTTTCATGTGTTATCAACTGAGCAGGCTGCCAATGTGCAAAATGAGAAGGAACCTTTCGCAGAAACATCGGAAAAAGAAATCCCGGTGTGAGTATGGACTAAGGTGTGAGATGCAACCCCTTCCCGTTTCCCCTCCCACTCCTTCTCCCGCTCCTTTTCCCACTCCTCCGCCAAACAACATGACAAAGATCCTGCCAAAGCCCCGCTACCGTTCTTTCTCCTGCTTCTCCTCCCTCTCCTCCTCCCTCTCCTTCTCCCGCTCCCCCTCTTGCTGCTCCTCCTGCTGCTTCTGCTTCTCCCGCTGCTTCTCCCCCTCTTCCCCTCGTTCCTCCTCCCCCTCCTCCAGCTCCTCTTCCCGCGCCATAGCCCCACTCCCGCTCCCACTCCTCCCGCTCCTTCTCCCGCTCCTCCCACTCCTCCTCCTCCTCCTCCCCCTCCCACTCCTCCGAGGTTCAAGACTTACCTGTTCTCTCTCTCTCTCTCTCTCTCTCTCTCTCTCTCTCTCTCTCTCTCTCTCTCTCTCTCTC